AAAACCCCATGACGAAAAGAAGTGTAGTGATTGGAGCAAATCATTCAGATAAATATTCTTTGGAACATCAAAGCGTTTACAAATTATGATATCAATTATCTTAAACTTTATTTAATCATTTCTTTGATGCAAGGTTATTTCTACATCTATTCAATAAATTCATATTTTCCTTCTTTAACTTTTCCATCTCTTTATCTTTATCTATAATTTCCTCATTAAGTTTCTTGAAATCCTTTCTTACGATTTATAATTCTCTTTTGAGCTCCTATGGATCCCCTTAAAAACTCATCTGCGATTAAGTATCAGCAAAAGCATTCATTACTAATCCTGCATTTTTAGTGCTATTCTGAATAATCTAAAGATTTTCTTTTGGCTTAGATGAAAGTATGGAATATTTTTTCGCGAAATCAGCTGCTTCTACCTTATCCTTATCTTATTTAGCAGTTTTACCGCTTAATTAATCAACCTATTTATGAAGTTTCTCCTTTTCTTTCATTAATACTGTTAGATGCCTATCTTTTTAATCTCTTGATTTAGTCAGTAGTTCAATTTCTCTTCTCTACCTCTCCATTTCCAAATCCATTTAAACCATCTTTTTCTCACTATCATCCATTACTTTACTCAAGCTCCTCAATTCATCTATAAGCTATTTATTCTAATTGTATTGATCATTAAGCTTGAAGTTCAGCAGATCATATTCTTATTGCATTCTCAAAGATGTATTAGTTTAGTTTTCTAACTCTTACTATAGTTCATTATTTTGGCTAGTGAGCTCCTAGATCCTATCCATTCTAGATTTTAGTTCATCGTCCTTTTTCCTAATTACTTCTTCATTTTCAGAAAGTCTTGCTCTAATATTAATGAGTTAGTTATTATAGGAGTTGGATAATGTTTCCATATCTTAGAGACACATCTAAGATAAATCTAACTTCTCCTTCAGCTAATTATTCTAAGATTAGAGTTCTTAAATTTTCTTCTCTTTTTCCATTAATGAGGGTCCAAGACTCAATTTAACCTCTGCCATTATGCTATCTAATTTACAATAATGCTACTAATTCAAATTTAAATAAGTAATTGCTCTGCCTAAATAAAATTAAACTTATAATTATTTATGCCTCATGGGGTTTTGGGGTTTTGGGGTTTTGGGGTTTTGGG